ATCAGGACTGTGTCCAGCTGGACTTGAAGGCAGCCTCCGTATTTATTACAGTTACACCAAGACATGGCGGGTGAGAAAAGAGGGTGCCCCTTGGGCCAAATTGGCATGGTTGAGGGGCCCTAGGGGTATCTCAGCTGTCCTCGGGGACCCCATCCCGTGACAACCTGTAATAGAACATAAGTTCAGTGCACATAAACCAGTTTCAAAATGGCTGAAACTAGTTTAAAATTGTGCCAGGGGCACAGGATTGGGAAAAGAGGAAGCCTCGCCCAGAGGCAAAACCCCAACTGGGGAAAAGAAAGGAAAAAATAATGACTTACCTGTTCCAGGGGCCAGGAGGAGCGAGGAAGCTCAGGGCTAGAAACTGCCCACGTAGTTTGTAAGCCGCGCCCATATACAGCGGGAGCCAGGTGACGTCATGAGAAGGCATCACCTGGCGGAGACGAAAGAGATCCGCAAAAGTGCGGGAAGGCTGCTGAGAGCCAGAGAACTGGCAGGAACCCACCAGCCAGGAGAGGACCAGCCGCAGCGGACGGCAGATGGCAGTGGAAGTGGCGGTGGCACCGACACCAGCAGCCATGGCGGGAGCGGTGACGGCGGCCGCAACTGCAGCAGCTGTGAAAGCAGTGGGGAATCCCTGACCCAGAGAAGCCCGGTGGGGACCAAGGACACTGGCAGAGAGGCCAGCGGAGGCAGCAGCAGTGGCGGCTGCAGCGTCTGGAGCAGCAGGAGCGGTGGGAGATCCCTGAGCAGAGGATCAGCTGGGATTGAAGATGCCAGCAAAGAAGCCAGCAGGAAAGCTCATGGTGGTAGCCACAGTGGCAGTGGCAGGAGCAGCAGGGAGCCCCAAGCCAGAGAAGCCTGGTGAGACCTGAAGGAGCCGACGAAGGAGCCCATGGTAACCTCGGGGCAAATTGGCGGGCAAGCCTACCTACAGGCAACGGGGGCCATAAACCCAAGTGGAGGCAGGGCCCAGAGAGGGTAAGAGAGGGACCCCGGCTGGGGCGCAGGCACGGGTCCCAACCCACAGGGTGCCCAAGGCTTAGAGTGTCAAGGGTGCTAAGGGGTACGGAGTGCGGTGGGCACTCTGTTTTCTCCAGGGCCCCTCCTTCTTTTCCATTTCTTTGTTCATTTCCCTTCCTTTGGCTATACCTCACTAGTAGCCACGGTGGTGGGTTTGTTCATTTGGTGTCACGATGGGTGTTTCAGGGAAGAAGGGTTCAGGGTCCAGGCAGTGGTAGTAGTCCCCTCTTGGGCCCGTTTATTTCCATCTCCTTTGCGAGGGAAGGTGGGCGAAGTCCTCAGCATTAGGTGAGGGTGGCCAGGACCTCAGGGAAGAAAAGAGAGAGGCAGCGCAGGAACACCCCAGGAGCAGGCACTAGGGGCACCAGAGACAACAGGCCCGAAAACCGAAGGTCTCCAGGCCCACCCACCAGAGTCCGACTGGGGTCCAGGGTGACCACTGTCATGGGGCAACGCAGAGGCCAGAGAAGATACCTGTGGCGGCTGACCGCAAACTAGACCTGGAGGCCCATCTCACAAGGGTGGCACTTGGCCAGGGTATAGGGAAGGTTGGAGCCCTGTGAGTGCATGCTGAGATGCATGGCGACCCTGGAGGCAACTCCAAAGGGGACCCCCTTCACTGAAGAGTCATTCAAAGTCATCGCAGGTGAGTTAGGGGGTCTCCCAGAAGACAACCGAGGTATCCTCTGGAGTCTGCATGTGGGACCTAGGCATACGAGATCAACTGTCTGGGCCAAGGCGGTGTGGGAGTGGACAGTAGAGAGGAGACAGGCACAAAGATAAACCTGGTTGACTATAGTAGCAGACTTAACAGATCTGGGTCAAACCGGTTTATGGAACTTCTGTCCCAGACCCCTTCCTGGTTTAAGCTAAACCAGTCCCCCAGCATCCCAGATACTTTTCATCCCTGGGCTAGGCTGTGCTGTCTGCTCCAGACAGCAAGACTGGCTCTGCCCCTCTGCCTCTTAGCCAGAGCAGGGGTGGGGGCATGGCCAGACAGCAGCTGACATGGCCCCCTAAGGTTAAGGGGCAGGGAAGGGATTTATTCCCCCTCCCTCCCCCCTTCCTCTAGGGGACTGCAGCTGGGATCTGCCTGGCTGAGGCAGAGCACCCCCTGTTAGGATTCGACCCCTTTCCCCACCACAGGGGCATGGCCAGACTCTGGCCAGCCTAGCCCCACCATCTGCCCATGGCTGGGGCTGGGGCTGTGGTTGCAGGGCTGAGCTGGACTGGCCCACAGGTGCTGCTGAAGGCAGGCACAGAGCCCAGCAGCCACCCACTATGGAGGTTTGTGTGCCCACAGCTGCCACTGCCACCACACCCCCTACATGTTGCAGGCACTGTGCAGGTGATGTGGTGCCAGCTGCAAGCATACAAGCCCCTGTGGCAGGAAACTACCAGGCTCTGGGCCTGCCAGCACCTCCAAGCTGGCTCGGGCAGCAGTGGGCACAACAGACTCATCTGGGCTGGCCCGTCCAGTGCCAAGGCATCTTCCTGCAGCTGCAGCCACATCGCCTCCATGCTGTTGCCCAGCCAGCCACTGCCCATGCACACTGAGCCAGGCTGTCATGGAGCAGCACCGGCATAGAGGGGCTCTGCCCCCATGGCCCAGCCTGGGCCACCCCACTATCTGCCTGCCTCATCCAGGGCTGAGGAGGGCTGGATGTTGGCACTGCTGAGGGCAGGTGTGGAGGGGCTGACCTGGGTCAGGCTGGGCCACAGGGGCAGGGCCCTTCCCAGCCAGCTTCAGCTCCTTGACAACCCCGCCTGGCATGGGTGCAGGGAGCTGGGAGCAATCCGGGCACACAGCTCCTGCAGCCCGAACCCAAGCTGCAGATGGGCCAGTCCACTCAGCCCCACAGCCACAGCCTCAGCCCCAGATGAGGTGAGCAGATGGCAGGCCATGCCGGCCCCCTCTGGTCAAGCCCCCTACCATGCAAACAGCCAGCAGGGCAGAAAGCCAAGTAGACCCCAGCTGGGGTTCCTGTTCCTATGCCCATGCCTGAGAAGGGAGACAGGAATTTAATTTCCTTCCCTGCCCCGCCTTTGCCTGAGGCTGCTGCCCAGCTTGACTCTGGCCATACCCCCCGCCATGCAAGCAGCCAGTAGGGCAGACAGCTGAGCAGACCCCACCTGGGGTCCCTGTGCCAGTGGGACAGAGAGGAGACAGGGAAGTTTAATCCCCCTCCCTGCCCTCCTGTCCCTGAGGTGCTGTCTGGGCTGATGTCTGGCCATGCGCCTCCTCTCCCCATTTAGGGACAAGCCTGGCAAGAGCTGCTTCCCCCTTTCCTCTCCAGGCAGATCCTGGCTGGTTCTCTGCAGGCCAGGGTGGGGGTTTAAACCTGTGCGGGCTCGGCGTGTCCGACGCCGTACCTGCCTTTTCACACGTCTCGCCCAAAGCTTTTCCAATCACTATGAGTCCCTCCTCTCGGCCTGTACGCGCTTGATACGCCTGCCACGACTTTGATGTTATTCCGGTTCAGTGATCTTACTCCGGCGCGTATCAGTCCAAAAGTGAGACTCCGGGACTCTTGGGGTCCCTAGTCAGTGAGGGCTCCACCACCCCTACACCCTTGCCCGTACCACCGGGTCTGTCGTTGTCTCAGGTCAACGGACCCGTCAGTAGGTCACTCCCTTTTCACTAGGAGATATCTGTTTTATGCCATCAATTTTCCCCAGCCAGGGGTTATTTGGGCAATGGGCTACCCTGCCCTCTGTGCCCTATTGTTACTACCTGGCTGCTAAGTGCTCGAGCACTCCTCCCTAGAACCCTCTCAGGGCTCCTTAGTCCTTTCCCTGGCTTCTTGCCAACTTTCAGTCCTCATAAACACCGGCCAGCCTCTTCTTCTGTAGAGAGTGCCCCTCTACTACAATCTATACGGCTCCCGGCTTCTGCCGGGTCCAGCCCTTCTCAGCCGCGTCGCACAGCCTGGGTCTTCGCTGGGACCCGTCGTCCCTGCTTCCCCGCCCTGTGGGGGCTTTGCCTTACCCCACCAGGTCCGACAGTGCCTCCGGACAGTTCCGCTCTGCTTGCCAGTGCTCCCTCTCGCTGCTGCGGCCACCCGGCTTCCTTCCGGCTCCGCCTCCTCTCTTCCCGACGCTGGCGTCCCTCTTACGCTGGCCCTTGCCATCCGGGCCACGCCTCCTTCCCCACACCTGAAGACGGTAAGGGGTTGCCCAGCGTTCCGGGCGTGTGGGAGGGAATTCAGCGCTGCTGCACCGCGGCGGGAAACCTCCGATCCAGCCCGCCTCTTCACTCCCTCACAAAACCCCTCCCCAATCATACTTAGAAGCCTGCCAGGGGCCTGGCCATGCCCCCCAGATCAGCTTCCTTCCAGCCTTGCAGCTGCTGCGGAAGGGAAGTGAGGGCTTGCTTTACTGCTCTCCAGCTTCTAGCCTGAGCCACTGCAGGCACATGGCTGTATTTCCAGAATCAAAAGTGAATATCTATTCACTTGCAAATCAGTTCAATCTACGCAAGTTAGGCTAACCTGTAAAGACTGAATTAATTCAGGGTCTGACTTTTGAATATCTCTACTTAGCTCTACAGTGCAGAAGACTTGGGTTTATTTCCTTGCTCTAAACTGAGGTGTATATGTTGGGGGGGGAGGGAGAGGAAGGAGCAGAAGAAACATCTCAGTGGCATCAAGTGGTCCTTCACATGTCATATCCACTGGCAGAAAGGGTGGTGTCCAGGAGACTTTGGGCACCTCCAAAGCTGGACAGCAAATGGAGTGGATTTAGAAGATCTAGGTGGTACCTAAATGTTGGTACTTAAAGTGCAGATCTAACCCTAAGCAATTTGGTGCAGGGATATTTGGAAAATATTTCATGCTGTGTTAGAGTGATGCAAAAACAACAACAATAATAATAATAAACTGCAAAAATGGCTCTAAAGATGTGAAAATATCTAAAACGTATTCCCCTACCTGGAGATAAAGCTCCAACGTAAGAGGCGGTAGTGCAAAATTCCTCACCTTATCACCACATTCATGGTATAGTCTTCTACTAGCTTTCTGATCTGTCACAATGACCCTTGCCATTCTCTCTGAAAGAATGCATCCCCTCAGGGCATTTGATAAGGTATCAAACAAAATGGCATTAAGTATTCTGCAGTGAAAATAAAAAAGCATATTTAATGCTTTGTTTTCCTAAATATTTATTTCAAATACTACAGATTCACAATGCTTTTAATACTAATGTCATACTTAAAATAAATCACAATGTGTACTTCCTGTGATCTCTTCAGAACGCAATAAAACAGATTGTTTTTAATGGCTTTTCCAGCAATGAAAAATATCTGTGTTAGGTGGAAACAACAAATTGATGCTTTTTCAATTCCTTTTAATGGCATGAGGATCTTTGCAACATGCTGTGAAAAATATTCTCTTAATGATAGGCCTGTGGCACAACTTAAGGAGTCATCAAGAAATAAATGCTCTGCTGTCTGGCTGGCAGCTTGGTGTCCCTTAATTGAAGTATTATAAGATTCTGCGCAGAGTAAAGCCTCCAGGGTTTTGTAGCTAAATGGCATGGACACCTCTGATGAGACATGCAGATGAAGATGTGTCAATACAATCTTCACCAATTTGCTGTAATAGCAGAGACTGATTAATTTTATAACCACGGGTGCTTCTATTAGCTAACCTAAGGAATGATTTAGACTTTATTAAGCGACTTATTTCTATCTTTTTCGAGAGACTTCTGCAACATAGTTTATCTCCAAGCGCTAGACAGCGACACCTTTTTCTAATAAGGATTCCAAATTTATTATTAAAAGAAGGATCATGAGCTTGACTCAGTTTATGTGCAGCTTAGTGGCGGCAAGTCTTTGTGACTCTTGGCAACTTGACTGTACTTCAGTTAACTTGCTATTCCTCAAAAAATAAAAGAGCTTCATATCCTATGCAATTGAGATGGCAGCTCTCATATACATTTTTAATGTAGAAAAAGGAAATTGAAGTAACTAAATCAAAAGTATATGGCTGTATATTTTTATCTTTTTTTTCTAGGCTATGAAACTTCTTTAATATTTTATTATAATTACCCATGGACATCTAACATAATTTGGTTACACATAATCAACTAATGCTTTATATTTTAGAGCTTTGTTCAATAAAATATGAATTAGATTATTATGTGTGAGTGGGCAATGAGTTCCAAGATTTCTCTGAACCATTTTGCTGTCACAATCATGTTGCATTCTATTTAATGAATATAAAAGTGACCATTGTACATTTCCTGCATAGTGGAAGTTGGAGGTGAGGACTTTCTTCTTGGGGAACAAGCAGGAGGAACTTACCCTCCAGCTAGCTGACACCAACCCAGACAGAGTGGGGCTCACAGAAACATGTGGGACCCAACGCATGACTGGGCGGTGAATATCAAGGTCTATAGGCTGTACAGGAGGAACAGGACAGGGAGGAAAGGTGAGGTGTGGCACTCTACATTAAGGAGGAATACACTTCCTCATCAAGTATCACAGGGTCATAGGAGGGACACACTGAAGTGCTCTGGGTTAGAATACGAGGCAGTCGAGGAGAAAGGGACTTAACGGTGGGGGTCTACTACAGACCACCCAACCAAGGGGAAGAGCTAGACTGGGAATTCTAAGTCAGCTCACGGAGGTAGTTAGGTCAAAAGACGTAGTCATCATGTGTGACCTGAACTTTCCAGACATCTGCTGGGAAGAGCAGTTAGCCAGCTCTGACCACTCACCTACATTCCTAGCCCAAATGCAGGACCTCCACTTAACCCAGGAGGTGCACAGCCCCACCAGAGGAGACACCATGTTGGACCTGGTGCTGGCCACGGGTGATGACCTGGTGAGGGGGCTGTGGGTGCTCGACCACCTGGGCGACAGCGATCATCGCCTGCTGGAATTACCATCCAGCGCAAGGTGGCAAAGGCCTGCAGCAAGGCAACAGCCCTAGATTTCAGGAGGGTGGACTTCAATGAGCTAAGGAGAATAGTCAGGGAAGCACTGAGGTCCCGGAGGGGAGGGGAGTCAAGTGTCCAAG